TTCAATGCTATCGCTGGCATGTTTCATTTTCTTATGATTCTTTCGAAACATATATCAGTATCGCACGATGCGAGGAAAACTGAAAGTCTGAATCTCCAATAATAGATAATATTTTGGTAGAAGATTGGGGTTTTCGAAAAGTGAGTAATTCAGTTCGCCAGTTTGAAAGAACGAAAACTTTAAATTTCTCGATTTAGAAAATCCGCTAACCAAAACGCAAATATAACCTTTGACTCTAAATGCCGAATAAAACATTTGGCCATTTTCGCTTTTATGGAAACCAAACTTTCATAACAGGGGGCTTTTCCCTCCCCATCGCTAAAAAGCTGAAAACCCTCAAAACTGGCCAACAGTGAGAGACATTCTCCCCTGTTATACCTGAAAGCTCACTAGAACTTAAACAACACCGGAGGGAAATCCTGTCGATGCTACCGTGATTCGACTTCGCCCTGAAGCTGACCAAAGGATCGTGACTCTTGATACGGGATGGTCACCAGTACTCCCCAGCCCAGAAAATTGTTGCCAATGGGTCGAAAAAACAGAGTACAGCACTACAGCCTCTCTGAGCAGAAGTTCAAAGTTCATGAGTGATTTTATTACCGATTTTCCAAGAGCAGATAAGATGGAACGGTGACAATGCTAAAAGATTATGGGCCAGTTATTTAAACGGAGTTTAGCCAGTGTTTAACAAAACCGCGTTCTAACCAATTTTCAGTTTGCCGAACGCTTTTTTTATGTAAACACCACTTATCGTGAAAAATTTAATAAAAGCATATGGCGTAGACTAGAAAAGCATTTGTGCGCTTGAAATAACCACTGAAGAAGAGATTTGGAGGTCCAAAGATTTCCTAAACCGCGGTCTAACTTAGATTTCGTTTAATTAACCCACCCTATGGGCTTTTCACAAAAAACCCTCCAAAACACTTAACAGTATTTTCTCCGGAACAGTAAACATTTAAAAATTGGCCAATTTAACCGCAAACACTAAAAATTTTGGGCAAATAACACTAAACACTAAGCCCCATTCAGACCCTTAATTAAGGCACAAGAAAACCTCAAGATTTTCTTTTGGGGAAAAATTCATTTTGTTCTAGGTCTCCTAGCGAGAGATAAGGCAAATCATTCATATTATAACTGAAATGGACATCGTGTTGAAATATGTTATGATGATGATGATGATGATGATGATGCTTAAGTAACTACTTGGAAAAAGACATATGATGAATAAAAATAAAAATATTAAATCACCTTTTTTTAAGCAAGGAATTAAAGTTTTACAATGAGTAATGAGTACTACTGAATTTTTGAAGATTGAGTTTATGCAAAATGGCTACTTCTCGTAGATTGTATTCTAACACGATTTTGGTATAAATTTTTGTGGGTTGGTCGAGCGTATTGGAAAATTGGGGACAGTTAGGTAGGAAAAGAGTATATCGAAGTAAGAATAAGAATGGTGACGGCTTTCATTGTATGCGAATGATTCTTACGATGAGTGTGTGGTTTAATTTTGGCGATGATTGAAATAACGCGAAATGTTTATCACGTTTTAGTTTTTTGGCAAAATTTTTTCTTCTATGCATTAGAAACCACGCTTTATTTTTTTTCGTCAAAACAGGTTACGTTTCATGCTTATATGACATAACAAGGCGATAAAATTGCAAGTGCAAAACAGACATAACTAAAAGTAAAAACTGTACACGTGCTCTCTTTAGAGAGCTACTTTTAAATTTGATCTTATGGTAATTTGGTTATGACTAGTCATGGTAGCGCAGAATCTGGGGTGAGAATCGGCACGATGCTCTCTTCATCTGCACGTTTTGAAAGCAACGTACAATTTTAAGAATGCTATGTTTTGAGAAGAAAAATTTGGAAGGATTAAAGCATTATACGGTGATGTCGCTTACAAATCCATACACCATTCGTGGTATACCCCAACTAAAAGATGTCGAGCGTTTCCTGAATGGGTCGTTCCATGAATTCTGTCGTTTGAAAGCGTTTATAACTTTGAAATAAGTGAATACATCTGAAGAATAGTCGAGCGTCGATAAAAAATGATGAGAAAGTTATTTTATAGCGGGAAATCCTATTTCGTGGTGTATTGAGGCGTTACGTTTCTCTGAATATTGTCGCAATAACTGGAACTCTACCGTTAAATAAATTCACTTTTTTGATAGAATTTCGCAGTTGTTAAGATGTGAAGTCGCGTTGCACTTAATAAATACTTGAGATATCAACTACTACTGGAAGCAACTTCAACTACCCCTCTGACGTTATGTGACACGTTATCACGGATGTGTTTATTAGGGGTTTTCACATGACGTCACTAAAGCTCCTGATTTAATTTTTTTAAAAATTTTGCTATCTAAACATTCCTTGTCTTAGAATAAATATTACTTTAATCTTTATGAGTTCCTCAAGCAATGAATTCACGCATAATTAGGAAAACTCAACAAAAGATGTTTCTGTTGGTTTTCGGCGGCAATATTAATTTTGTGCCCCTCAAAGGGGCACCAACATGGCGTCTTCATACAAAGCCTTTTAAATTTGGGTAAATGAATTATCGCACGGACCTGATTCTTGGCGAGGCTTTTTATATGTTTATCTTCTGATCATTCATTTCACAGATTCTGAACTTTCTGTATTGACTAGTTTTCCGTTTAAACCCCACGCAGTTTACCAGAACACCAATTACCGTATGTGGAACCTTGTTGGCTTGTCAAGTGTATCAAGCTCTTGCATGATGGCCGCTTAATAGAGATGAAATCAATGGGAGAAATCTCGTTAGAACTGCCAAAGGTTGTCGCTTGAGATACTTAGGTTTAATTCTCCATTCCTTACTCAATTATTTCGGGTCCTTGATTACTGGCCGCTGAATAGGGGGTAGCCACTTAATAGGTGATCGCTGAAGGTTTAACTTTAATTTATTCAGGGGCACTTTTTGATCTTTCTTTTTATTTTGTATTCCCTCTCTCGGCTTTCGTACCATATGAAGAATTATGGAGATCTCGGAGCGTGTTATCCACCTCGGCCTACGGCCTCTACGGATAACACCCTCCTCGATCTCCATAATTCTTCATAAGATACTTAGCCTCATTCATTAATTGTTAAATAACTTTATACACTGTAGTACGTTCGTAATACAATAAGAAAATATTTCATAGGTTGGATCGATGGAATGAAAGCAGACCGCCTGACCAATTTCGGGTGCGAAATCTTGGGGCTTTGGTGCGATGATCATGAAAACCCTTGCTTGACACGCGTTGGATCTCGGTGGCAGTGTACATCTATTGTATTAAGCAGTAAAAGCGTTATTGTTCAAAGTAATATTTCCAAGCAATACTTTATTAACCTTGTGTCTGCTTTTATTAAACAGCCAAAAATAGTTTAGGTAGAAAAAATCGCCAGCAAGCTATTATTCCTAGTAACTAATTCCCAGCCAATTTTTATCTAAGATGCCATACTTCTCAGCCATCATTACGATGGCTGAGGAAATCGGCTCCACTGAGCAGCTCCTGATTAGATTCCAAAATATTTCCTATGTTAAGCACATACTTGATAATAATTTTCATCTTAAAGGAATTCGCGATTTTGATTGGACGAAATATTTTTACTCACATCTAAAAAACACCGGGCGCTCCTCTGATTGGCTGGTATTCATTTGCGAGTATAAAAGTTTACAACATGGCTTTTTTTCAGCTTTCATACCTTAGTTTGTATATCTGTCTGAATCTTATAAAAAGGTACCTACAGAAGTTTCAAGTACGTTTTAACAATTTGACCCTTGTGGCGAATAAGCAACAATTGAGAGTCGCTAGTTAGCGCTTAGAAAGGACAAATTAATCGCTAGAAACACACGAAAAGTCGCTCTTGGCAAAAGCGACAGATTTGTATCGAAATGAACAACATCTAAAGGACAGAAATTATGACCTTTCAGTCTCTCAAACTATGGGGCTCATAGCGAGATGCCCGTCTAAAACAGACCTAGAATTTACCTTTCTCGAGCCCAGAATCGGTTGTTTTAGACATAATCACTTCAACTAAATACTCACGAAGCGCTTTCATGCTTGTACACAATATTCTTATAACACGAGCACCACGATATACCTGCATGTGAATTCTGTCTGTCGACAACTTCAGGAAATCACACAATTAACCACGTTCGCGGCACTGATGAAACTAGCCACAACCAACTAGGCACAATGTTTCTCCACTTAATACGGGCGAAATATCATCAAATTACGTTAGACTCGCCTTCTCCACATAAATCGTCACATGTAAACTTTCCTTATTCAGTCGATTTATTTAAGATCCCAGATGTAGACGAGCCGTTCTGAAAGTGACACATAGAGGCCGGCCTTCACGAACAATTTTTAACTAAGTCTCTGACCTGGTCAGAAATATGCATCAATTTTGCTCTCGCTGAATAGATTTGACTCCTAAAAACTCCTTTTTGAGGCCAGATACTCGTCACCGCCCACATCAAAGTTCGCAATATAATGCCTTTCTGTCTCAAGCCCGAGATCACTGTTTCACCCGTTTAGCCAAAATGAGACAAAATATGGTAACATATTGGACGGCGGCATTCTTTGCCAATCGTGAGACTTGTTCCCTCATAAGGCTTAATGATGCCTCCCGGAAAACTTTGCTGCAGGCGGCCAGAAAGAAACCTCGAAAATTAGTCTACCACGGAAAACAACTTGTACCGCACTCGCTGATTTCAAATGTGATAGTGTTTTATGACATGGAGAGAATGATGGGAAATGATAGGTAGGGGAGAGGGGGAGGGGGATGGGGAAAGATGTAAACAGCGTTATAAACACCTGTTTTTTTTCTGTCCTACTGCAGCTTGTCAGGATTTTTTTTCGTACTAAATGGTCAACTACTGAACAAGCATCAAATGATACTGTTGCTACAAAATCCTGGAGGTACCTTTTTGCAAATCCAGACAGATATATAATCATTAATGAAGTTATCTTTAGCTTTTATTCTCTATTTTATGCTTAATGTTCTTCCAAGACATTTGTTTTAAGAAAGAGCTCATCCGGGTGAGGCTCATCGAGGTCGTGATATGGTCTCAGTGACAACGTCCCATCGCTACTTGAAGCAAGGAATAATGAATCGGATTTCTCTTTCCAAGATTTCTTCAACGCGATCAGATAGATGTCAGGGCTACCGTTTACTTGCACGGGTTGAAATTGTAGGGATATCTGATTTGAACTGTCCTCGCTCTTCCGCCAACACTGTTGAGAAAAAACACCCAATTGAAAATTGAGTATTTTAGAATGCTAAAATAGCATTTAATAATCAGTGAAGAGTTTCCAACTTTAATAGCTCCTTTAGTCGCCGCAGTGAATCGAATGCATTGAAAATGGATTGTATTCTTTCCACCGTTCAAGATGGCTTCAATGCAATCAGGTACATGAAAGGCTCACTGTTTTTTAAATGGGGTATCTTCAAGAAATTCTAAAAGGGATTCAAGGGCTGGTGCTCCTGCTAATTCTGTTGAGAAAAAAACATCCAATTGAAATTTTAGTTATTTTCAATTCTGAAATATTAAGCGTTTTATAGTCAGTGAATAGTTTCCAATTACCCGTGCAGAACACGGTGACTGCATTGGTAATGTTATGAATAATGCGATTTCGCATTCTATTATTGCGATTGTGACGATTATTCCAACTTGTTTAATTTATGTAAATGAATTTACCTGAAGTTGAATTCCTACTTATTAAGTTGATTAGAGACAGCTTTTTAGAGGCAGGTGAAAATTCGTCGTTGAGTGTGCTGGTATAGTCTCTTTTAAAACATCTTATTAGAACATGTCACCTAGCCTGTGCTGAAGGACAGTAACTCTTATTACTTAACAGTTAGTGTACTATATTTTTTTAATTTTAAAAGAGTAGGTGTGCTTTCGAAGAATTCTTTTAAAACGAATTGCGTCTCACCTTCACTGATAAATTGTCCTCGGAGTCAATATCAAGCCCGTAATAACAATCCGGGTGTGCCTCCTCAAATACCAGGTGAAATGATCGATGCGGTGTGAAATTATTTTGGCCGGTTCTGAAGGTTATTTTTCCTAATTAAAGAGAAAAATAAATAAATGCCGTGCTTTCCAGGGAAAGGCTTTCTTAAAGTCTGACTGAGTGTAATAACTTACCAAAACGATGTTACAGTGTCAGACTGCTGATATCATCAGGTTCAAATACTACTTCTTTGCACAACATGAATTCACCAAAGAGTCGTCAAACTAATAGACCACTTTATCTGTACTTCTTTTCATTTAATCTATCAGGCTTTTGAAGCCCCCATCGCGAAAAAGTTGATGAACTTCAAAACCATGAGAGTGTTTGAAGTTATAGAGGGGGGCCTTTGGAGCCTAATCAGGTCGCAGGAAGCGAAGAAATGCCTGGTCTATAAACTAGAACTAAAATGTTCATTTTATTCTGTATTTTTTAGCGAATTTTTTTCAAGGATAGCATTATGAAAAAAATTCGTCTATTACTTTCCCAGAAACAACACCAGTCGACCAGCTGTTTGTGAAAGACGTTTCGTCCAAAACTCTGGCTTGCTCTACTCAATATCCCAGTCACGCATATAAAAACTGACTACGTAGGCCAATCAGAATACGTGCATGTTGGGTGCCATTGGTCATATTCGTACACACATTGCAACATTAATGAGGAAAAACCAAAAATGCTCGACTTGAATTTCACAAAACCGCTCGACTTGACTTTCAAAAGGTCTGAATAAAAATGTACTTGATTGTTAGGTGGAGGTAGAATATTACGTCGTTAGTTTTTCTATTATCTGACGAATTTTATTCCGTACGGTGCAGGGTAGTATCATTAATAAGTTCTTCGTCTTCTTCCCCAAAAACGTAATGCCAAATAAAAGACGTTTTTTGTACAAAACTTCGGTTCGCTACTCACTAACGCATATAAAACGTGAGCACGTTATCCTATCACAATTCGTGTAAATATACTTGTTGGGTTCCACTAGTGAGATTCGCACTATACAACAACAACGACGACAATCAAACAAAACGTGCTGAAAAAGTAGTCTTTTGACTAAAAGAATTTAACAGGCTGGTCATTACAGTATATTAAATTATTTGGATTTGGAAAATCAAACTAAATAAATATATTAAAAGATAACAAAGAATAATTTATTATAGAAAAATTAAATGCACAATAAATAAATAATCTTATAAGTATGCCTCACCAAAATCTCCCACCCCCTCTTTTCCGCTTGCCTTGACTTCTCCATGGTCTGAATAGAAATGAATCGTGATTGTTCGGTAGACGTAAAATACTATGTTACTGAGTTCTCTATATAAAGTTTGATAAATGGAAAACAAAAACAACTAAGCGCGCATAAAACGAAACTTAAAGTTAAAGGGCTATTTGAGTCCTTTCTCAGGGGCTTACCATCCGTTATTGCCAAAGAGTCAGGTGGGATCGGAGAATAAGTGAGGCTGATTACGGGGGTATTACACACTCCAGGAAGCAAACAAACTGTCGAATGATGCCCCTTAAACAAGAATCCGTATGTTTTTGAAACAGCAATTACCAAGATTAGGTGCGTATTGACTGGTTTCGTGTGAATTGAAGGCTCTTTCAAAAGTATCCTGATTCGTGTGGGCGGGGCCTGAGCAATTTTAACAACACAAGAATCAAAGAGCGTGCGTTATATTTTGAACGTGACGTCGTCGGCTCTTCCTCAAGATTGCCTCAGCGTGGTTTAGTGCAGATTGACCAGAGCGTTTCTTTTAGCCACAGCTGCATTTAGGTCAGTATATTGGATTTAGCAAATTAAAAGATATAAGAGGAAAAGAAAATACTCGTCACTTACTGCATGCTGGGTTGTTTGCTGCGGAGCCGTCCATGGTATTTGAATCATTGGTACGAAACTCCAAGAAACGATTACTTCTTCTTGACCACACCCGACACACTTCATTCTCGGCGCCGGCCATCTTGTTACTGTGCGTTTGTTCTATTGAAGACTTCCTGTTGGTAGCTATGTGAAAGAGGCACCATTTTAATTTCAGTAGATGGTGTAAGAAAGGGGCACCTTTTTGCAGAAAATGGTTCATCAATGGTGTAAAGAGCAGAACCTCGCGGCAGAACGTTGCGTGGTGAAACAAAGACTAAATCTAGAATCTATACGCTCTTCTCACGTATGGTAATATGCC